CCCGCCCGCCCCGGTCCCGCGCATGCGCGGCTGGCGGGGCCATGGCGGCCGGCGCGGCCATGGCGGCGGGCGGCCGGGCGCGGAAGCTGGTGCGGCGGTACCGGCTGGCGGCCGCGACGGCCCTCGCCATCCTCCTGCTCCAGGGGCTCGTCCTCTGGAGCTCCGCCGGCCTTGACGAGGAGGGCCTGGCCGAGGTGTGCCCGGGAGGGCGGGGGACGGCCGGTGGAGGGGAGGGGGCCGCGCTGGGGGAGGGCGGTGAAAGCGCTGAGGGCGCCGTGAGGGGCTGAGCGCGTCGCGGCAGACCGGGGAGGCCTGGGGGGCTGGAGGTGGGCTGAGGGCCTGGGGGCCGTGGGAGGGCGGTGGGTGCTGGAAGGGGCTCTGGTGGCAGGGACAGCCCTGGGGGTAGCGAGTGTCCCCTCGCTCGGGAGCTGCGGCGGGGACAAAGGGGTGGCGCGGTGGGTTGGCAAGGCCAGCCCCACGGTTCGGTTCCTGGGGTGGAGGGCCCTGCAGCCTCCGGCTGCTGGAGGTGCTGGTGCTCCATGGCTAGCGGGGTGTTTCCTGGGGGACCTGCAGGGTCACAGCAGCTGAGAAGGAGAGCTTGTGGCACAGGGGGTTTGTTTTGGGTCTGGCATAGAGTGGGGCTTGTGAGGGGCTTGTTGCACTTGTGGTTTGGGGGATGTTGTGGGAAACTGGCATCAGGGGCACCCAAACCAGAAAACATGGAGTTCAGAGAGCTGGCAGGTTTGTGTCAGCTCCTGTGTAGCTGTTGTGGTGAGAGGTATTCCTGTGGAGTGGGAGAGTACCTTTTGGAGTCGCTGATGTCTTTATACTAGAACACCCTACTGTGGCCAAATGCATCACTTCTTTCTTGTGATTGTGGGGAAGCTGAGGCATGGTCTGGTGCAGGAGTTTGCCCAAGGTGAGACACAGAGAAGGTATCAAAGAGAACCCAGGCTGATGAAGCACATTGCTGCCACCTTCAAACAAGGTTTCCACCTGTGGGTTGTTTATTTGGATTTGTTTATTTGTTGGGAACTGCCCAGACTGTGTCCAGGTCTGCTATGTCTGTGTGGACCAGTGGCTGAAGCCTTGTATTGCCTCCCTGGTGTGGGGGGTGATCCCATGGTCAGCAGGTCTAGAGGACTTTCCTTGAGAGCAAAGAGGTGAGAAGGGGAATGGGGCAGCCCCTTGCAGTGGGGAATGTCTCTAGAGTGACACCACTCATTCAGCAGGTGAATTCCCAGCCTTGGGCCTCCTCCTGGGCCACAGGGAATGGCCATGAGCACCCTTATGTGCTGCCATATGCCCATCACCAA